CCCCCCCCCCCCCCATCCTTTCTCATCCTGCACACCCTTCCCGGGTGATCTCACCCAGTCCCGGAGCTGCAGGTCTGCCGCGGCTCCCAAGCCCTCCCTGCAGCCTGGCTGCTCTCAGGACATTATCACCCGTGCCCTAAAATGAACACACGTTACCCTGGACTCAAGCAGACCCGGGAACCCCCAGCTCGTCCCTTTCCTCTCTGCCGAGCCTTTAGTCAGTCACTTACAGAGTCAGACTAGGTCCCAAATAGCTCTTGACTCCCCCCCACCCCGGTCCCCGCAGTTCCACAGCGTGAATTCACCCCTTGTCTGGATGCCGTCTCTCCACGGTTCCCCTGTTTTGCAACTCTCCCCGCGCCAGTTGCTCACACACCAAAGTGACGGGAACGTGAGTCTGCCCAGCTTGTCCTCGGATGGACTGTCTTCAGTAGTGTGATGGTTAAGTTTATGTGTCAACTTGGCTAGGCCACGGTACCCAGCTATTTGGTCAAACATTATTCCAGATGTTTCTGCGAAAGTATTTTTTTTTTTAGATGAGATTAACATTGAAATAAACAGTAGACTCTGAGTGAAGCAGACGACCTGCCATAATGTCGGTGGGCTGCATCCACTCAGGTGAAGGCCTGAATAGCAAAAAGACTGACTTTAATAAAGAGGGAGTTCGGCAAGCAGACGGCCTCTGGGCTCAGACTGCAACTCCTCCCCGTCTCCAGACTGCCAGCCCCACCCTGCAGGTTGTGGACCTGTCAGCCTTTGGAATAGGAATAGCGTGGACCAATTCCCATCTCTTTGTGTGTGTGTACACACACACACACACACACACACACACACACACACACACGGGGGATCCCCTATTGGTTCTGTTTCCTGGGAGCTCTTCCTAAATTTCAAGATAAAAATCTGAAATCCTTAGTCAGCCCACATGACTCTTCAGCCAACTTAGCTCACCTAGCGCCTCAGTACAAATTGGAAAAAGCCACCGCCTCTGGGCAGATGCGGCTCTGGCCAAGGCCCACGGCTTGGTGGGTGGAGCCTGGGTGAGCTTTCCCTCTTAGTTTGGTGCACAACCTGGACAACCACACGGGGCGGCCTTGCTTCCTGCCGGCCCACTGCCTGCGGCTCAAGTCTTCTAATCCCTTGCCCCTCCTGGCCCCACACCCCAAGTCCCCTCAGCGCCTAGATCCTCCTGAGCTCCGTTGCCATTTTGCTTTTGCGCATCTCGTCGCAGCTGCCGTGGGCTCCTCCTCGCGCCCCGACCTCCAGGTTCCCTGGCATGGCCTCCTCGGGCAGGTTGTGCGGTCCTCAGCTCGGTCAGCGCCCCCCACCCCCGCCTGGGCGCTGTCGGCTTTCTTTCTCTGACCCTCTTGCCGAGTGATTGCTCGGCTAGCTTGGGGATCCCCGAGGCCCTTTAACTTTGATCCGCCGGGACGGGCACTAGTAGGTGCTCAGCGTGTTCCCTGAACCAGTGGGTGAGTGAATGAATGACGGGCGGGGCGCCGGCTCGCGGTACACGCTGCAGGAGGCGCCCCCTCGGAGCGCGCGCCTCCCTCTCCGGTCGGGGCCGTCAGCGGCGGGAGGGGGCCCGGCCGGGGCCGCAGGGGGGCCGGGGGCGGCGGGGCCGCGGCAAGGGGGGGCCGGGGGGCGGGGAGCGCCCTTGGGGGGGGGCGCGGGACCCCCT